ATTCAGATAATTTTTTATATATCTTTTCATTAGATTCAATCAAAATATTATTATAGAAATATAATTAATAACTTAAAAAAATATCCTAAATAAAAATAAATTGGATGTTAACATGCTCAAAACATTTCACATTTAATTATAGAATAACTAATAAAATGCTAAATTTCAAAACATTTATATATTTTATAAACATGAATTCCTTGAACAAAAAATTTAGAATATGAAAGAATGTAAATTCCAGAGAATACTATTAAGTAAAGAATTATTAATAAAATATTACAAGTATAATTATGTTCTATAATAACTATGAATTAAGTCACTAAAACACAGAAATTATTTCAAGAAGTTAAAGATTGAATTGAGGTTTAAAATATATGAGCAATTTACAGTTTGTATTGAATCATGATGTTTAGTATTTTATATTATTTATTATTATAATTGTATTTTGAAGTCCAATAAAAATAAATTTTCATTAAAGTTAATGTTTATATAAGATACTAATATGAATATTAATAACAGACAATGATTAATATCAAAATTTGAAGAAATTTTAAAGAATTTTATTTACCCTATCCTGAGCAGCAATTAAAACATTGCGGCAAGCTAAATCACGATGCAAAAATCTATTTGCCTCAAGATAGGCCATTCCTTGAGCGACTTGAATAATCCAGTCCCATATTACAAGTAGTGATGTTTTATAACAATCTCTTCGTAAAGTATCAAGTACAGACCCCTTCTCTGCTAGCTCGGCAATCATCATCATAGGACTTGACAGGACCACACCATGCAATCTGCAATAAATTTTGCATAAGTTATGATATGAAATAATTTAAAAAGCTATGCTAAATACACCACCACAAAAAAAAAAAAAACAGAACTGGTGATACTAATTGCAATATTATTGATATATGTTGATAAGTTTGTGAAATGTGTCACTTTGATTTCAAATGTGTTGTTTTATTAACAATATGTTACAACAAGAAATCTTCATTATGATTTGATTGTTCATTGCTTGGTATTTGAATTAAACCTGTTTTATAGTTTAGCATAAAAAATTTTATGTTGCTATTAATATTTCTTCATAAAACTGACTTGCCAAAATGAGTTTAAAGAGTAAAAATATTCAATTTCATAAAAAAAAAATATAATTACCTACCTGATTAAGTTCGGGTGATTTAGAATATGCATTGCTTGAACTTCCTTAAAGAAATCATCGATTACACCAGGTTGTGAAAGTATATCACCTTTTAAAACTTTAACAGCAACTTGAATGACTCTGCCATTAGGTGCTCGCCATTCTCCTTTTCTCACTACACCAAAAGATCCATCTCCAAGTTTAGTAGACAATGTGACATCTTTTTCATGTATTAAACAAGTTAAAGCCAATGGTTTTTCTGATTCAGGCACAGCCTTTGTAGCCTTGGACGGTTGTTTACCACCACCGATAAGTTTACTTCTAATATCACGTCTCCATTGTTGAGTTTTCTTTTTCTTCACTGCTTTTAAAAGTCTCCTTACTGCTGGTTTGCCTATGCCAATACCTTCTAAATCTTCAGATTTCACATAATCAAAGTGTGCTAATCTTGTTATCTGCAAATCATCTCTTATTCTTAAATAAAACTGTTCAAGCTGCTCATCCTGCAATAACTGGTTGAGCCACTCAGTATCATCACTTGAATAAGTCATTCTAAATTTGTATCAGAACTAAAAACCGTCTGAAAAGAATAATTCTGAAACAAATAGTATGCTTTTATTGCTTTACATGACAATAGTGTGTTTAAGTAGACTAATATGCAGTGAAGGTCAATATTATCTTAAGTAATTTAGTTTACATACTATGAATCAATAACAATAACAACATCCTTCTCGATTTGAAAGTAGAACTTTCTACCCAAACAGAATTAATATAGAATATATATTTTTTATTATAACAAATGATTTTTTGCGCATTTCGATGTTTGTTTTCGGTACAATCTTATAACTAGTAATTTGCATTACTAAATAAGCATGCCTGCTAAGTCCATAAGTCAAGTGACGACTGACGTTCTTTCACAATGCAGTGCGAACTGCATTGCAAATTGCATCGATATATTCTTTATCGATAATTATAAAGGTGCATCCTCACTAATGGCTCGCTCCATTGCACGAATCCGTACGGCAATGTGGACTCGTGGACTCTACCACAATGTAGACAAACATTTTTCTTTTTTGATGTTAATATTTGCAGTCCTGCATTAGTTTATGTTGTGATTATTATGTGTTCTTGATAAATTTTGTAAATTTGATCATTTTAAATAATTTTTCTCTTTCCGCCACTTTAAATAATAAAACTGACGTTTAACGGAACATGCTCGAACAAAAAAGATTCAAGCCCTCAGTGCTTTGAGGAGTTTGTTCAAGTTCATTTGAAATGATTTGTCTTTGTTCGAGTTCCTTCTTCTTTCTATTTTCTTGTTCGTCATGTTCGTTCTTGGTCGTTCGTTAGATGAGGATGTGCCTTAATTTTGTGAGGCACAGGTTTGCAAAAAAAAACTCTATCTTCATTTGGAGTGGCATAGATAAACAAAAGCTGGGAAGTATCCTAAACAACATAGATAAGGAAACAATATCTATGAGTGGAATCATATCATATACTTATTTATATATGCTTATTTATCTATGCTATCTATGCTCTTTTTTATCTTTGAGTGGAATCACCATCCATGCGCACATCTTCACGTTGGTAGTTACTAGAAATTATAATTACTGGACAGCAAACATGTGCGAAAATTTAAAACCAACACTTATAAAACTTATTAACTTAATTTCAAATAGTTTAATATGTTATAAGAATCACGGTATAAGACATATAACCTGTAAATCAAACAGGAAAACATATTTTTTTGTGTTATATTACCACTTTTTTTATTATTAACTGATTACTAACTCTATTATTAAATGACTCTATTATTAAATGACCAGTCATAAATGCAGAAAAAATCATTTTGCGATAAATATCATATTAATATTATAACCTCTCATGTAACCCCCTAGGACTAGGATAAATATTCAGAATTTATGAAAAAAAGGTTGAATATCTTTTAACTTTCCGTAGGGTGTTATTGTAATCGTCCAAAAATCGAAATTGAAATTTTTGCATAAATTTACGTTTCAAAGGTTTCTGAACATTTTGAGTGAATACGACTTTTCGTCGTTGTTTTCGGTGTACCGCTCAACCGATTTGAATGATTCAAAAAGCATTCGATTCCTATTACTTATGGGGATTAGTGCGCAGATTGGTTTTTGGGAAAGATTGATCCAACCGGGTACGGAGGTACGAAGCAAAGAATGCACAAAAATGGAATTTAAGTTTTTGAGAGAACAGTACATCCGATTTAAATGATTCAGAAATAATTTCATTTATAATGATCAGAAAACGTGGTGATTAGTTTTTGCAAAAACTGATCCAGCCGTTGAGATAAGCTAAAATTGTAAAAAATAGCATGCTATTAAAATCTGCAGTTTTTGAGAGAACAATAAAGCGTCTAATTCGAGTGATCTAAAAAACATTTTGCTTTTAAAGAAACTATTTTATAATCGATTATAAATGATTAGTTTTTAAAAAAGGCATTTTTTGTTTCAATTTGTTTTAAATATCAAAAATAATTCAGATTTTAAATTTAATTCTAGTCAAAATTGTAATGTTCACTTACATACTTGAAATAAATATAATTTTAACTTTGCAATTCAGTTTATATCATTCTTAGAAATATGGGATAAGTTTCCATGGGATAACTTAAAAGCTCTTACATTTGGACTTTAAAATACGAATAATGAAAGTTACAGTATTTATAATAATCTTTTTTGAAAAAATTTAAACTTCTTCGAATATTCTACTATTAAGGTACGGAAAGTTCCAGCAATTTGCCTTAATGCATCATCATAGTTAATATGCTGACCTCAAAGTTTTAGAAGGTTAAACATCTCTTTCTTAAATATTTTTTTTATAATAATAATAATAGCTACTGATACCGACATCAAAGTTTACTCTGATTATTTTTCACAAATTGTAAATTTTTTTTGCTTTAAAATTATTAGCTTTTTATTAACTTCTCGTGAGGTAGTTATAGTAATAGGCCAAAAATCAAAAATGAAAATTTTTGCATATATTCACGTTTTGAATTTCTGAACATTTTGGCATATTTCAAAAAAAATTGATGTGTGTGTTTGTGTTTTGTATTTCAACGTTTTCGGACGCACAGATTAACAGATTTAAATGGTTCAAAGAACATTCGATTCCTATTGATAGGGAGGGAGTGCTGATTAGTTTTTGGCAAAAGCAGGTCTAGCCATTTTAAAGATACAGAGCTAAATGTGCAAAAAATAGCAGTTTTTGAGAGAAATAAGCGTCCGATTTGAGTGATTCAAAGAACTTTCTGCTTCTTTTAACAAAATAATCGCTTTAGAAAAAAACAAAATTCAATTTTTTTTTCCAAATTTTTTTTTTTCATATATTTTTTTTGTATATCGAAAATAAATCAGATTTTAATTTTAATTCTGATTAAAGTTATAATATAGTTTAAACTGATGATTTCAACTTTGCAATTCATTTTATATAATTCTTATAAATAGTAGACAATGTTACAATATTTATAATAATCTATTTGAAAATATTTAATATTCCTCGAACATTACGTTACGGTATACGGAAAGTTTTAGCAATTTGCCTTAAGGCAAGATGCCATACACCACTAGTTTCAATTGATTCTATTTTTTTTAAACAAAGTGCATATTTCAACGATAAGCTGAAGCGATGTAAAAGCTAGAGGCACTCACGATAGGTATCTTGTAAGATACTTTTTTTATATAAGGATAAAATATAGTTATTCATTATTATTTTTAAAATAAATAAGGTAATTAAAATCTAAAATTTTATTTTGTATATATACAATAAGAATAAAATTATATACAATGAATATTTCAATTAAAATTTGTAAGTATCTATCAATAAATCTGTTTTCATTAAAATCATTCGCAATTTTTATTATAGTGGAAAAACTTGCGTAACCTTTCCTATACCCTTAGTTTTGCCCTCTCGAAATAAAACGCGCATTCCCTCTGTAACATATTCGGGATGTCTTTTAAAGCGGAATAATACCGATGCGGTGTCATTTGTTTCGAGTGACTCGGATCCCATAATTCCTTCGATAACCGCCGTCTGCCGGACGCTTCCAATGTGCACTGTAGTTTGAAAGCCTGGATATATTGCCGTGGCATGGAAAATAACTGATATATAAGCCTAGAAAATAAAAGTAAATAGATCAATAATTGATACAAAAGTATTTTTGTTTACACTAATCTTTATAAATAGAAAGATCATTTGGTGCAAAAAAAGCTGTTGCCGGTACAGTACTCCGGAAATTCTGAAAATTGGTAATGTTATTTATAGATTTCGAGGTGCTCTTCACGAATTTCAACTATTTAAAAAATTCATATTTAAAAAATGGCGTCAAAAAACAGCTTTTTTAAAATATCTCCTTTCCGGCTCATTCTACGATAAAAGTAGCTATGTACGAATTAAACTAGATAAATTTTTCTACAATTTTTTTCGTAAAATTAATAGATTACTGCTCCCGCCGTAGTATCGGATCTGCCCATATTTGGCTACATTTTTCCAATATGGCAGCGACTTGCAGCAAAGATTTGAGGTGGCAAAGTTGAAATTCGTAAAGAGCACCTCGAAATCTATAAGATTGCCAATTTTCAGAATTCTCGGAGTACTCATACTTGTTTATCTATGGGAGTACTGTACCGGCAAAACGACCAATTGACTGAACTATAAGGTTTGTAATTTTGATCCATTTGAATAACATACTTGGAAAAAGTAGGTTCCCCTCGGTTGACCATGCATGGGCAGTAAAACCATCCCTGACCTCAGTCCAGGTGGTTCGATTGATAATCCCAGTGAAGCACTTTGAGTTGCTCGCACCACTCGACACGGAGCACGGTTTCTATGTAGAGATTGCACTGTTACTGGCATAAAACTTCCATCATTCAAAGGACCTGTAATACATTAAAAAAATGAATAAATAATAATGAATAAGCTAATAATGAACACCTATTATTAGCTTCAAATTCAAATTTAACTAGTTGAAAGCGGCATTTAGCCTTAGGACAAGTTGTATGAACTTCCTCAAATGTGTAGAATTGACTTAATCAACCGAAATTGAGATTTAGATATTTAGATAGAATTTTCAACTATTTATTTCGAAAATAAAGTTATCGCTATCAATTAAATCTAACCATTGCGATTTCCAATAAATTTTTCTCAAACACATTTAAATTATCTGTAATTATATTTTACATTGTACAGGCATGTGCTTGCTAAATTTGATATTATTATAAATTTTAATGAATTTATAATAAGCAAATTTGAGACAAATTTTGACTATAATATGTTCTCAAACTTTGAATTTTTAACATTAAACTATTTGTCGTAGGACCGTAACATTTTAGTAAGTTCTATAAGACTATGATATTTATAGTCAAAAAAAGTTTCATAAAAATCGGCATTTTTTTCTGCAACAATTATTACAAGAAAACGTCCAGGTAGATTTTTACCTAAAACTAATCAGTATCATTCCCAACCAATATTTTTCGAACAGTTTTTGAATTTTCAAAATCGATTCAGAATTGCGGGCGAAAACGCGGACAATTTTTTTTCCACTTTTGTGTTATTTAGAAAGAAACGGCTTGGCTGATAGTCGAGCAAAATTGATAAACGCTAGTCCTCATTGAGATGCATCGAATGGCTTTTAAATTTTTAAAATCGGTCCAGCCATTTTTGAGAAAACGTCGACTTACGGACTGTTCACATACACACATACACTTACTTTTTCCAAATTTGGTCTCATTCGATTCAGAATGGCTTAAAACATCGGGAAAACATAAAATTAGCGAATAGGATTTTTTGATGAAAACATAAACTTCTCCTTTGGGAAGTTAAAAAATATAACACAAGTGAAAGACAATTTTTAGACACCAACATGCTTCTAGATCGAAATTATATCTATTTCATATTTTTCTACTAATATTTCTAGCAATAAGTTTGAACCATAATAGAATGTAACGTAATTCATTTTTTCAAATCTATAAATTTTTGAATTAGCTCGAAATAGCAAATCAATCCCAAGTTGATATATTCTCAATATTCCATATTAATTTAAAAAATATACCTATTAGCATCTTGCTGCCTTCAGTAAGAACTCCGCAAACAAGTAAACCACCTACAACATTTCCCACCTCTGCAACTTTAAAAGTTTCATCAATTTGAAATTCACATAATTGCTGTAACAAAGAAAAAAATTAATAATATTACACAGATATAATCAACAAAAAAGTAATATTTAAACTATACACTAAAACTTTACTTTAATCAGTTGTTAATTGAGATGGTATAAGTTTTGGTAAAAATATTCAATTAAAATGTTAGTAATTTTTCGTTCATAGTCACACTGTAGTTACCTGTTCTAGCCTTTCCTTCTCTGTGTTACTAACTCCAGGTGGTAATACATGCAAAAATTTTGTCAGCAAATCTAATCCTAAACCGGAAACACTGGAGCAACAAAATATTGGAACTATATTTTCGGAGATCAGCTGCGATGCTGTCATGACATCATCTTCATTTTCTACTACAAGGGGCACCTAAAAGAAAACAGAAAAATACATAAAATCTGAAATCACATTTAATATTTTATATAACGACAGTATATTATTCAAAGTTTAAAGTATATCCAATTGAAATAATTTTTCATCAAAGCATAATATATTTTCCATAAAAAAAGTAATGAATGCATAATATTTTTTTTAATTTAAAACATTATTAGTTGCAATAACAATTGTTAACAAACTATCCTAAAGAAACATGTGCTGCGAACATACCTTCCGGCACCCTACACTCTTCAGAACTGTACTCAATTCATTAATTGTTTCACTCGGAGAAATTAAATCAATTTTGGTAATAACGATAAATACTGGTACATCCAAAGCAATCACAAGTGCTAAATGCTCATGAGCCATACTTCCAATGTCCACACTTCCTGATACCTAGAGGATTAATAATTATGTAAATGAATATTATGTCCCATCATTAAAAAGATAGTTGTTAATGATAGAACTCAATTTATAATCTAATTGCAAATATTTATATAATGTGTACTAAAAGAAATACGTTAATATGTACTAGAAGACATTATTCAAAACAGACACAAACAAATTTAACTGATTTATGTGCTATTTCAAAGGTTATTTTATTGGTAAGCTGATTATATTATTCATTTAAGTTAAGTACTTCAGTAAACTAGATCAAATAATCAAATGTATCGGATTGTGACGATAAGTTGTATTGAGTTAAATAATCAGTAGCATAATATAATATAGTTATTTTAGTAAACGTGACTTTTCCATTAAAAATTTATGGAAATGTGTTTATTACATATTTATAATTCCGTAAATATAATAAGGGTTAAGATTGAGCATAGATTCTTACAACAAGCATGGCGTGATGTGGACTATAACCCGTGAGACCTTGCACAGTTGTCCTTAAGTACTTTCTATGTCCTGCCAAATCCATAAATGTTATGAGTTTTGCTGACATATCACATATTTCTTCTGCTGTCATCATTTCACTGTAGTTGTAGTTTATTATATTCCCCTATGAATAAAAAAATTCATGACGTAAAATATTTATCTTCAATTAATTTGTATAACTTTTAAATTTCATCTCATATATTTATTTTGTCTCCAAAATTATAATCATAATCTATTATTGTATTAATAGGTTTTATTTCAGATTTTATTTAAAAAAAATAATAATACCTGCGAATCAAATCCTAATATTTCGTGTGAAATACTGCTAGTGCGTCCTGATTGTACTTCGTGCAGATGTCTGAACATGTTCAGCCTCGCGCGACCTCTGCCATTGTCCAGCTGCCCTTGCGTCAATACTCCCAGAAGCGTAGATTTGCCGGCATCAGCACTTCCCATCACAGCCACTCGTATTTCTATGTTATGTTGATCATCTGGTACCTACAAATAAAATATAAATAAAATGATTAAAACATTTTCTATTTCGTCAATAATATTTGGATAATGTTTGAAAGTAAAATATAAAGTTTCATGCACATTAGTAAGGAACCCTAAATTAATCTTAATTATAATATTGACATTTTGAATACTTCAACTAAATATTCGATAGTTTTACTCAAGTAGCAATAGTAGGTTGTCTAGAGCAATATGTATAAGTTTTCATTGTCAATCTTAACTTTTTATAACAAATTTCATACAGTCGAATATGTTTTAGCAAAAAATAAATTAAATATTTATCATTAAATAATTCAAATATTATATTCAGCATTAAGTCCAACTAGTAGAACTTTATTTTAGTTAAGCTCTAAATTTTTGTGGTCTAAAAAGATAATATAAAAACTAAAACATGAGAACATTGTATAAACTATAGTCCTCGGTAAAGATTTTCTAAATGATATTCTTGGGGCAATTCTGTCATAAAAAAACTCAGAAAATAGCGTTGTCATGGCAACGCTCTCTTATGCTTATTCTTGGTAGTAAAAATTCTAACTATTTGCTGTGCGATCAGGCGTATTTTACATATAAACAAGCAAGAAAGAATGTTTTAATAGAATCTTTGATGATGCAGTGATCATGAGTTTCTTCCTTGCTCTGTTTATATGTAAAATACGCCTGATCGCATAGCAAATAATAAATCCATAATTTTCACTGCCAAGAACAAGCATAAGATAGCGTTACCATGACAACGCTATTTTATGAGCTCTGTTACGGCAGAATTGCCCCATCTAGAACTTTAAGCTATCTTATACGAACTTTGACAGACTCATATTAATACATTTCATGCTTAAAAACATTATTTTAAAAATTACTTTTCTAACGAGAACTTCGGCAACGGATCTAAAATCTCCAACAGTCTTTTGTCGTAATATAGTAGTTGTAGCTCCCAATTTAAATGCCATTTGTTGTAAAGTTTGCAAAGAAGCCCGCATCTCAGAATCACTCAAACCTTCTAAACGTCCAGAATCTGCCACTCCTATTTCATATATGGCCTCACCCTGTCCTTCACGAAGCCTCCATTTCATCTGAAAAAAAAGATAATAAGATATAAAAATAATAGAGATTCTATAGTAATTTTTTGCGCAACCCGTGACAAATCATAATTTTGATTAGATATCGACTTTTTCAAATGATTGATATATTACCTGTGTGACCAAATGCTCAAATTTCTGTTTCGACGGATTGACTAGTTTAAGTTTGTACTCTATATTTCCTAATTGGGGCTCAGGCGGCAAGTTATGACAGGACATGGTAAGAAGGCGAGCGGTTTTCTTTAGAGCTTTCGACTTCTTAGGACCAGACGATGACTCTACATTTGATTCGGAATTAGCATCCCAGTTGTTGTTGTCCGACGGATCGAACAATCCAAAGAATGAGTCCATATTTAAGTGATTTTGAGAGACTGGAAAAAAATACATATACGATTTATTTTATTTTGTTTTGGACAACTATAAAATTTAAAATATATTGAAATATGTATATGGTGTGTACATATATTACATTTTCCTTATACATAGATTAAATATTTTTTTATTAGCAAGTACATCGCTAAAATGATTGAATAGAATTGAATGTAAATAATTAGACGCTAAACATCATAGATAAAAGAAGATTATATTAACGAAAACATGATGTATGCTAAACACCACGACAATCATTTGGACAAAGACGATAATAACTTATATCCAAATAAACATTAAATAATTTTGTAAGTTAATTATACCAACAACAAAATTGCAGATTATAAGTAAAACTTCCTTTCTCAAACTTATGGGGTGTCCATTAATCACGTGAGCGATTTTTGGACCCCTGGTGATACATGGTGATATTCAATATTATCCCCCCACCACCACCAAACATCACGTGCATTTTTAGTTACGTGATAAAACTGTAAATTTTTTGTTTTTTTGAAAATGTTAGATTTAAAAAAAAAAATCAGTTAAAAAATAAATACACGTGATATCTTACTATACCCCTCCCTCCCCCACGTGATATTTCGAGATTTTTTGTCGAACTTTTCCTTCCCCTAAAAACCCCACGTGATTAATAGGCGCCCCCTTATTAGATAAATTCTAGATTTTTTGAAAAAAAAAAACAGAATGCTAATTTTTACCCAGATTGATAAATATTTAAGATATTATTTTTTGAAAAAACTATTTTCTTTGTTATTAATTTTTCTTTTCAATTTGAATTTGAGGAAAAATATTAAATTAATTGATAAAGTTTCAATAATATTTCAGATATATTGAAATAACATAACAATATGGTCCTACAATAATAATATCTTACAATTATAAACAAAGGGATAAATTTGGAAGCCATTGCACGGAACGCTAATGGTGTTGTAAAACCACGAATTATAAATTTTAATATTTTGGTAAATGTTTAACAGGTTCAAAACGATTGTTAAAATTATTTGTTTATAGATTTTAAGAGCTTAGCTATATTAATAAAACATTATAATTTTAGTGAGCTGATGCAGACTCTAATTAGCTACAAGAACTTATCAAATTCCTGAATGTAATAAAGAAATTATGCTCTTAAAATTATACGATTAAAATTTGTTTATGAATCTCTATAAACAAGTCATGCGCACCAAATACTCATGTTTTATTACCAAATGAATAAATGAGCAATGAATAAAAAACCTATTTTTGAGTGATCTATTACATACATAGTCAATATTGATCCAAACGATTTTAAAATCATTCAAATCGGTTAAACAGTTTTCTTAAAAATGCTGAAGTGTTTAAGCAAAAGTGCAGGAGATTTGCATCCGAACAAAGCAAACATCCACACATCAGTAATTAGAAATATGTCAATATATATTAAAATATATATTATATAAACACTGGACGTATTTTCCAAGAAATTCGTATACTGTATGTCTTGCAGAACTTGTTTTATAAATGAAACACTATTTTAATTCAATTCAATTTATTTGCCGAATAATTGTAACGGAGTACGGAAATCACAATGATATCAATTTACTGATGAAAGGTACTATCGACCTGAACAGTTATAATCCCAAATTCTATCTATTGAATGCTAGTTACTGCTGGTACTGATAATACTGCAGCAGCAGTGTTGACTAGTGTGAACAAAAATAATGGTGTTACCATATACAATTCTTTCCATACTCCCACTCGATGCACAATTGCATCCAAAATAAAATAAACTTAAAGTTAAATCTAGTAGATAATATCTTAAGTCACATACAAAATAAATATAAGTTTCTTAATAGCGACTACAAAACTTAAAGTAATTAACTTAGCTACATTCAAAAAATCATACATTTTTTCTAATACAAAATACAATTAAATTAGTTTACATTCAAGAAATAACACAAGATACAAATATCCATTTGAGGTTTTAACTTCTGCCACTCGAACTTTACCATCACGACCATAATTTAAATTAACAATTCTAGCCAAGCACCATCTTAATGGGGGAAGGTTATCCTCCTTAATCAAAACTATCGAGTTTAATTTCAAATTTGGCTGATTATCTGACCATTTTTTCGTTTTTGCAAATAAGATAAATAATCCTTTGACCATAAAGTCCAAAATTTATCTCGCATGGCAGTTAATGCTTATATACCGTTAATGAATTTAATTTATCAAAATTTACGTTTGGTTCTGGGATTGTAGTTAAAAAATCTCCAATCAAAAAATGACTAGGCGATAAGTACTGAAAACTAGAAACATCATCTGTTATTGCCATAAGAGGACGTGAATTAAGAATTGTTCCACCTGTAATAGTACTGTTAAATATTCCTCATAAGTTAAACAGGAGGAGCCTATTATCCTTCAAAGGTGATATTTCATAATTTTAATACTTCCTTCCCACAATCCACCAAAATGTGGGGAATGAGAAGGAATAAACTTCCAAGTTATGCCCATTGTCGCAGCTTGGTTAATTATATCTGCCTTGAAGGATTGTTTACTAAAAAGATTCCGTAGCTCTTGCAACTCATGATTAGCGCCTATAAAATTCGTTCCGTTGTCGCTATTATTACCGAACATAGACCTCTACGAGAAACGAATCTCTTTAAAACACAAATAAATGATTCTGCTGTGAGGCTAGTTGTAATATCTAAATGAACAGCTTTAGTCACCATGCAAACAAACAAAACAATATAAGCCTTAATTCTTGGTGCTTTCCTTAATCGACTCGATCTTATCGTCAGCGGTCCTGCGTAATCAACCCCAACATTAAAAAAAGGGCGTTGAAATTTAACTCTATCAATGGGTAAACTTCCCATTAATTGAGAGGCAGTAACAGCTTTAATTTTGCACATTTTACACATGAGTGTATTATCGCTTTTAGCTCTCTTCGCGCGTTCAAGAGCCAATATTTAGACGAATATTTGCTAAAACCGTTTTGCGTGCCCGCATGCATCAACCTTTCATGCTCTTGTTTCAATAAGAGTCTTGTAACATAATGTTTTTTGGGCAGAATTATTGGGTGCTTTTGTTCATAAGAAACATCAGCATTTTCTATCCTACCACTCACTCTCAAAAAACCTGACTTATCTAAGAAAGGATGAAGCGATTTCAATTCCGCCATCAATTTAGATTAGGGAGTATGTTTGCTATCTTGCAGATTTTTTATTACTTTTGTGAAGGTTTCTAACTGAACCAATTTTAAAATTACCTTCAACGCATTATCTAATTCTGGGACCGATAACGTATTGTGATCACCACGACCTATCGACCTTTTAATATAAGGGTTCATTCTTAAGCAGTAAGCTAGAACTCTAGTCATTTTCTTTAGCGAAGAGAATCGCTGACAGAACGTATCAAGAAAAGAACTGCTATTTTCTTTAACTAATAGAACTCAAATTTAACTAAATAAAGTAAATAAATAAAAAATATTTTTAGTATTATGGAATATGAATTCATGTCTGCTTGATAATGTAAAATCTATGGTTTATGTTACGACATTTGGTTTAGCATATATCCTTTATGAAAGAGAATTGTAAAAGCATTTTGTATTAGCGTACAAAAACCACATGTCAAATAAATTTCTAGCTTGTAAACTTAAATAAAGCTATGAAGATAGCTCAGATAATTATGGCCATATTGAGACAGAAAGGAATTAATCAAATTTTAATTACTTATAATCGAAATAGTGTACAAATTCATTTGCTCTATATTTAAACTTTAACTATTGTCTATTTGATATACTTTCATTAAATTTTTTGTTATCAATATTTACTGTATAATAAAAAATCAATTTCATTTAAAAAAAAACAGTTACAAAATTAGCTGAGTTTAAATAATAACAATACCCCTAACTATGCCCTAACTTTACCTTTCCGTAACAAATATTCAAATATATTTGCACGCAAAATGTAAATTGACATTTGGAGTTCAATACTTCAAATTTTATAAGCTCGGATGTTTGTGCTATAATACGATAAAATACAAAAGCAAAATTAATTATAATAAATCATAATTTATAAACTAATCTCTGTATAGCAGTTTTACTTTTGCAAAATTAAAATACTGCAATCGTTGGCCTTTTTAGGTTATTTCCTGGTATTTGGTTCAATGAGAAAATTGAAAAACAATTTCACGAGACATTTGCGAAATAAACTCTAGATTTATGAACAATCTTACTTGCCTTTAATTTATACTTAATTATAATTGATAATATTACTTAAAACATTTTTAATTTACCTTAAATTGAACTTCAAATAACACTGGACTAAATCAATGTTAGTTAATAATAATGTTTATAAACATTAATATGAACAATGCAACGATCAAGATATAGAGACTAAACAGTACTGTTTTGATGATGCTAAGTTTACATAAACAAAATACTTGACCGTGAATTTCAAAATGTATTTTATTTTATCGCAAGCCAAAATATGTGATTCAAATCACCATATTGGCACATCTTTAATCTGGCATAGTCGACTACTGGATGAACGCCAATTATTTTTTGTTTTTTTTTCTGAATTTATCTATGGATAAAATTAGAGCGCTCGCGATATAGTCGTATGACTGATTCTAAAGTAGATATAGCTCTTTTGGAGAAAGTTGTTTTGTTATGTAATATGTAAACTAACTTGTTTGCAATTGAGTTTGGAAACTGAATAAACAATAACAATAGATTTTAATTGAGCCGTCAACTTTATACATGCACTATTTGTTTATTTATTAACTTCCCGAAGAAGTTTGTTTTCATAAAAAAATCCGATTCGCTAATTTTATGTTTTCTCGACGTTTCAGGCCATTCTGAATCGAATGAGGCCAAATTTGAAAAAAAGTATGTGTTTGTGTGAACAGATTTTTGAAGCCATTCGTAGCACCTCGATGAGGACTATTGTTTGTCAGTTTTGTGCTGCGATCGGCGAAGACGTTTCTTTGTAAATAGCAGAAAAGTGAAAAA